TCAGAGAACTAATAATGATCCTTAGCAAGAAAAAAAGAAGCAATGTTATCCATTACAACCATTCCTTTTTTTTTTTTTTAAGATGGAGTCTCGCCCTGTCGCCCAGGCTGGAGTGCAGTGGTGCGATCTCAGCTCACTGCACCCTCCACCTCCCAGGTTCAAGCAATTCTCCCACCTCAGCCTCCCGAGTAGCTGGGATGACAGGTGCCTACCATCATGCCCGGCTAATTTTTGTATTTTTAGTAGAGACGGAGTTTTGCCATGTCAGCCAGGCTGGTCTCGATCTCCTGACCTCGTGATCTGCCTGCCTCAGCCTCCCAAAGTGCTGGGATTACAGGCGTGGCCCCGCATTCCTTTTACTATAATGCCTTTTTCCATTTTGTTTTAGGCAAATGCTTATCTGATCTTCAAAACCCTGAGGCCCTGTTCTTAATGTTGAGCTCAACTCCTCAGACTTGAAGACCAAAGTTATGCTTTCAAGTTGGCATTGTCTAACTAAGGTGGGCAGTGTGCAAGGAAATGACCAGAGTCTGCCATTGCTCAGATTTCTGCATTGACTTTTAGTGTCTTTCTCGCAGGGTCGAGGCCTCCCCTGTTTCTTCCTTCGAATCGAGATCTCAAGGTTACTGCATACCAGGAATTACAAACTGATACCTAGAAGTGGTAGGTAGCTAAGCTAAATCAGTAAAGAAGGCTGGGTAACTTCAAAACAGGACACTCAGTCGCGTATTAAAAAAGAAAGACTTGTGTGTGTAGAAATGAAGAATGTTCTTAGCTTTTTTTTTTTTTTTTTTTTTTTTTTTTAGAGACAGGTTCTTGCTCTGTCACCCAGGCTGGAGTGCAGTGGCACTATCACGGCACACTGTAGCCTCAACTTCCCTGGCTCAAGCAATACTCCCGCCTCAACCTCCCAAGTAGCTGGGACTACAGGTGCATGCCACCATGCCCAGTTAATAGTTTATACTTTTTTGTAGAGATGGGGTTTTGCCATGTTGCCCAGGCTGGTCTTAAATTCCTAGGCTCAAGTGATCCTCCTGCCTTGGCCTCTTAGAGTGCTGGGGTTACAGGTGTGAGCCACTGTGCCCAGCCAAAAAAAATCTTTCTTAAAACATGAACCTTTTGGTCCATCTCTACCTACCACTTATAAAAATGACATGGGACCAGGTGCAGTGGCTCATACCTGTAATCCCGGCACTTTGGCAGGCCAAGGTAGGTGGATCACCTGAGGCCAGGAGTTCGAGACCAGCCTGGCCAAGATGGTGAAACCCCATCTCCAAAAAACGTAAAAATTACCCGAGTGTGGTGGCACACGCCTGTAATTCCAGCTACTCGGGAGGCTGAGAGGGAAGGACTGCTTGAACCCAGGAGGCAGAGGTTGCAGTGAGCAGAGATAGCACCAGAGACTGTCTCACAATAAATAATAATAATAATAATAAAAAACATGGATATGAAAATATTTAACTTTCCTTCTACTATAAGAAATCAAAAGCACTAATGCTACTATAAATGACAATGGACACTGGCCTTAATAAGAGGGAGACAATAGGGAGTGGTGAGGTTTGTGGCCAACTAGAAAGCTGCACTCTGTCTAGAGGGGGAAGCTGCTATTCAGTCTATGCAGATTGTTGCCCCATAAGAATGTGGTTGGCTGCAGTGACTCACACCTATAATCCCAGCACTTTAAGAGGCTGAGAAGGGAGGACTGCTTGAACTAGGAGTTCAAGACCAGCCTGGGCAACATAGCGACATCCTGTCTCTACAAAAAATCTAAAAAATTAGCCAGGTCTGGTGGCACCAGCCTGTAGTCCTAGTTACTTGGGAGGCTGAGGTGGGAGGATCTCTTAAGTGTAAGAGATTGAGGTTGCAGTGAGTAACCTAAGATGGTGCCACTGCACCTGAGCCTGGGAGACACAGCAAGACACTGTCTTTAAAAAAAAAGAGTATAGGCGCAGTGTGGTCAGATTATGTGCTTTTTTTTTTTTTTTTTTTAAAGACAGAGTTTCGCTCCGTCACCCAGGCTGGAGTGCAGTAGTGCGATCTCGGCTGATTGTAACCTCCGCCTCTTGGGTTCAAGCGATTCTCCTGCCTCAGCCTCCTGAGTAGCTGGAATTACAGGCACCTGCCACCATGCCCAGCTAATTTTTGTATTTTTAGTAGAGATGGGGTTTTACCATGTTGGGCAGGCTGGTCTTGAACTCCTGACCTCGTGATTTGTCCCACTCGGCCTCCCAAAGTGCTGGGATTATAGGTGTGAGCCACCGCACCTGGCCTTAGACTATGTACATTTTATTTTTTTTTATTTATTTTCTTTTCTTTTTTCTTTTTTTTCTTTTTTTAATTTTTTATTTATTATTATTATACTTTAGGTTCTAGGGTACATGTGCATAACGTGCAGGTTTGTTACATATGTATACTTGTGTCATGAAGCTGTAGATATATTTATGTAAAAATCTGAAACATTGGCAGTACATTTAAAATATGACTATAAATTATCTCTTAATACAATATGGTGTAGACCTAACAAATCAGGTCTACAGGCTAGATCTGGCCCGAGGCTGCCTCTTACTGTCTTTCTTTGTCTTGTGAGGGCTCATATGATGGCCATACCTCTTTGTTTTCAATTAAGAAAATATAAAAGAGCTTTAAACCATATTTGTTCATTTAATCATGAATGGAGCATAGCTTCCTAAAGCTTATGGTGTGGTCTTGACTTTTGAAAACAACATAATGAAAGTCTATAGTTGTGCTTTTCCACCAAACATTTCCAGATATCACTGCTAGAGGGACATTCAGCTAGTGGGATCACGGGTCTCAACCACTGCAGAAACCCCGATGTCCTTTTCTTCCTGGCCAGCCATCAGCGGCTAAGGAAAGCAATTGCCACCAAGGCTCTAGAATGTCTCATCCCCCCCGCTGAAGCTATGTAGAGAGGCTCTGAGGCCTTGTTGAGATGTGCTGGCAGTGAAAGCTGCCATCTGTAGGCCAAGCATCAGGAAAATGAAGCAGGTCATCACTTGCTGAGTCACCTAGGCCACCCCCATGTTCCGACCTCCCACTGGTCACTCCACCCCGACTTCACTGCAATGCAGAGGATGGGTGTAAAATTCACACGCTTCCTTACGGTTACCCTGACCTGGCCCATCAGCTTACTGGACAGGTGAGACAAAGGCGCTGCTGATCTCCAGCCAAATCTAGTCACTCTTTGTAAATGATACTGACTTAGCTGTCAAAACACATCTGAACAGATTGGCAAAGACTAAAAAGTTGGATAACAGATGGAGTTGGCGAGGCTATGAGGAAACAGTCACTCTGCTAGTTAGCTGGTAAGATTGATCCAACCACTATGGCAAGTACCACCAAAATCACAAATGTGCACGAATTTTGACCCAACAATTCCACTTCTAGGAATTTATTCTATTTTGTTTTTTTTTTGAGACAGGGTCTCCCTCTGTTGCCCAGGCTAGAGCGCAGTGGTGCAGTAATACAATCACAGCTCACTGCAGCCTTGACCTTCTAGGCTCAGGCGATTCTCCCAGCTCAGTCTCCAGGGTAGCTAGGACAACAGGCATGTGCCATCATGCCCAGCTCATTTTTGTTTTTTTTTTTAGAGATAGGGTTTTGTCATGTTGCTCAGGCTGATCTCAAACTCTTGGGCTCAAGTGATCCTCCTGCCTCAGCCTTTCAAAGTGTTGGATTACAGGCATGAGCCACCATGCCTGGCCTTTAGGAACGTATTCTATTGATTAGCCTATCCATGTGCCAAACAAGGTATGTGCACAAGGTCACTCATTATAGCACTGTCATAGCAAAATATTGACAATGGCTCATTATGAAGGACTGACAGAATTACAGGATGATCACACAATGGAATATTATATGGCTGTAAAAAAGGAAACAAGATCCTCTTTACCTACTAATGGGGACTAATCTCTACGATATGTTAATAAGTGAAAAAGCAAGGTATAAAACAACATGTGTAATGTGCTCTTATTTGTGTAAAAATATTCAAAAATAATGTGTGTGTTTGTCAATGCATAAAATACGGCTAAAAGAACACACAAAAACCATTAACATTGCTTGACTCTGGGGAGGAAAACTATGTGACTGGAATTAGGGACATACACAGCTTTTCATTATGTATCTTTTTGCTTATTTATTTCAATTTTTTTAAGAGACAGGGTCTCACTCTGTCACTCAGGCTAGAGTGCAGAGGTGCTATATCACAGCTCACTGCAGCCTTGAACTCCTGTCCTCAAGTGATCCTTCTGCCTCAGTTGCCTAAGTAGCTAGGAACTATAGGTATATGCCATTATGCTCTACTAATTAAGAAAAAAAATTTTTTTTTTTTTTAAAATTGAGATAGGGTCTTGCTATGTGGCCCAGGCTAGTTGTCTTTTTTCTTTTTTTTTTTTTTTTTTGAGATGGAGTCTCGCTCTGTCACCCAGGCTGGAGTGCAATGGCACGATATCGGCTCACTGCAAGTTCCCCCTCCCGGGTTCACGCCATTCTCCTACCTCAGCCTCCTGAGTAGCTGGGACTACAGGTGCCCGCCACCATGCCAGGCTAATTTTTGTATTTTTAGTAGAGATGGGGTTTCACCATGTTGGTCAGGCTGGTCTTGAACTCTGGACCTCAAGCTGTCCTCTGCCTTGACCTCCCAAAATGCTGGGGTTACAGGCATGAGGCACTGTTACCAGCTACCATGTATCTTTCATATCTTTTAAATTTGGAGCCATGTGAATGCCTTTCCTGGTAGAAACAGAATTAAAATGTGAAAAATGGCAAGCTCACAAACAATACCAAACCACACAGAAACAAAGTCGACGTCCACATCCGAGAATAAGCACTCCTGGCCTCCGCATCCCAAGTTCTCCAGCCACGGCGGCTGATTTCCATCACGACACAGTTTAGGGTTTAGCTTTCTTCCCCTCAGCTTCCCACCTGGGAGGGGTCGAGAAGGCATGGGAAGCAGTGGTATCAGCTTGGCATCAAGCACTTACCTGCTCCTTCTCTGAATATGGGTTGTTGAGGACGACGGGCACATTGCCCTTCCCCCATAGGTCATTGAAGACTCGGTCGTTCTCCACACCAAGGGGCAGAGGTTTGTGTGATTTGCCGTCCAAATCTCTGAAAGGCAAGGTGGGGCAGGTGAGGAAGGGGACATCAGGAGGGACTGCTGGTTGCTTTGATCTGGAAGTCCTCAGTCTGTACAGAACCTCAGTGGCTCACTCACATAACTCGTTATGAGCCAGCAAGCTTTGGGTACCCAGCCCGCTGCTTCAAAAAGATCGACAGTGACACGTGGGAAGGCAGTTCCGGGTGTCAATCATAAAGGGAGCACATCCAAGGGGACTTTGACAGCTGGCATATCCCTATCTTTGTGGACATCATTTCAGGATGGCAAGGAGAAGGATTTTGCCTGTCCCTCTCCCTTCTTCATTCCATGGATCTGGGAACACAGGAGGCCTGTTTCCTAGTAATAGTCCATGTACCATGAACCCCTGGACAACTTAATGCTCATGACACCTACCAGTGGAAAAAGTAGGAGGCAGGAAGGATAGAGAGATCCTGTGGGCTTTGGGTAATAAGTTATTCTAACCCTAAGACTTTTGGCTTTGAACAATAGCAGCTCAGGACAAACAGAATGATTTGGAAAATAAAGGGAACATAATGACAAAAATAATAATACTAGTAATAAGGAGAGATAGCATTTATTAAGCACTTACTATGTGCCAAGCACTTTACATGTGGGTTTTCAAAAATTATTATTTTATTTATATTAGACACGGGTTTTCCCTGTGTTGGCCAGGCTGATCTCTAACTCCTGGGCTCCAGCAATGCCCCTGCCTCAGCCTCCCAAAGTGCTGGGAGCGTGAGCCACCATGGTGAGCCACCATGCCTGGCCATGTGTTTTAGTGCATTTAACTCTTGTGACAACCCTTTGAGACAGGAGTGACTGTGTTTTTTTTTCCCCCTCCCCCCCTAGCCTTGTCCTGTCATCCCAGCTGGAATACAGTGGCACAATCACAGCTCACTGTAGCCTTGATCTCCTGGATTCGAGTGATCCTCCCGCCTCAGCCTTCTGAGTAGCTGGGACTACAAGGGTGTACCACCACGTCTGGCTAACTTTTTAAATTTTTTGTAGAGATGGGGTCTCACTATGTTGCCCAGGCTGGTCTCGAACTCCTTGGTTCAAGTGGTCCTCCCACCCCAGCCTCCCAAAGTGCTGGGATTACAGGCGTGAGCCACTAAGCCTGTTAGGAATGATTGTTAATCAGCATTTTATGGATGGGATAAGGGAGACAGAGAGAAGCTAAGTTGCTCAAGGTCACACAGTAGAAAAGCCTATCACATCCATTCTAAAGTAGGGGTTGTCATTGTCATCATCATCATCACCACCACCATCACCATCATCTTTATCACCACCACTACCACAGTCATCACCATAGCCACCATCATTCTCATTGTTACCATCATCATTATTGTAATCATCATCATCTAACTTGCCTCATCAGCCTCCACCATAATCACCATCACCATCCTCATCACCATAATCACCCTCATCATTATCATCATCAACCTCATCATATCCTCATCTTCATGATCAGTGCCATCACCTTCATTAGCAGCATCACCATTATCACCATCCTCTTCCTCCTCCTTGGCATCATGACCACACCAGCATCTTCATGACCACCAGCATCATCCTCACAATCATCACATGAGGAAACTATAGTTCAGAGTGGTTAAGTCACTAGCCTAAGTCACACAGCTAGTGATGGTGGATTCAAACTCAGGCTTGTTCTGGATGCTAGAGCCTGACTTTTTTTGGAGACAGTCTTGCTCTTTTGCCCAGGCTGGAGTGCAGTGGTGCAATCCTAGCCCACTGCAGCCTTGACCTCCTAGGCTCGAGCGATCCTCCCATCTCTGCCTCTCCAGTAGCTGGGACTACAGGCGCGCATCACCCTACCTAGCAATGTTGTAAATGTTTTGTAGAGACAGAGTCTCACTGTGTTGTGCAGGCTGGTCTCAAACTCCCAAACTCAAGCGATCCTCTTGCCTCGGCCTCCCAAAGTGCTGGGATTACAGGTATGAGCCACCATGCCTGGCCAGAATCTGACTTCTTACTCACTAAGTTTTCCTGGCTTCCTGTCCCTGAACTCTAACAGGCTCAGGCTGAGGTGATCTCAGCTAGGTTCCACAGGCTGGCCACCCTCTGAGATGGAGATGGGAGTTGGCACCAAAATCCAGATGGCTTCATCAGACCTGTCTTACTCTCTGAGTCCTTCTACTCTCTAAGTACTGCCCTCCTACTTCCCAACAGCCTTTCTCCTTTTGGCTCTCCTATCCAATTTGACTCTGACCATGGCCTCTGTCTTTCTCTAACTGGGCCATGCAGCTTGCCCTGTGGCTCATCTTGGTTTGGGTCCCAGGCATTAAGACTGGCCGTTGTCTTGCCTTCTGTTCTATGTTCCTAGCTTTGGGGACTCCTCCATCCCCCAATCTGGTACAATGACAGTCATCTTGGATGAACCAGAAGCCACGGTCCAAGCTCTGAGAGTGAGACCCCCAGTGACCCCCCAGCAGCTCCCTCTGGGCCACCCAGATGCCCTGCCTGCAGGGTTGCACGTTGTCCCTGTGGCCCACGTCAAAGCCACTTCCGCTCTTCTGCCTGGAGAGCTTTGCAATTCGTCAGAGGGAACATTCTGTTTCACCCTCTTTAAAATGTCACCAAAACGTACCCAGAGTGGCTCTTGATTACAGGCATTTCCCAAGTTAACGGTTACCTACATGATCATAAACAGAAGTATCGTCTGTTGAGAGTGCTGCTCTAAATGTCACACAGTTCCCTTTCAGCTCTGAAACTACTGATCCTACATCACATGACCATAAGTGAGGATTCAGCAGAGAAGAGAGGAGGTTAATGTACTAGGAGCCTCTATAACATTCTGGGTACTTGCACAGAAGTTATTTCATTTAGTTTCAACAGACATTAAAAGTCCCCATTTCACACATGAAAAAACTGAACCCAGAGGGGTACGTAAGTTTCCCAAGGCCCCATCGTCAGCATATAGGACAGCTGGAATTTGAAACTAGGTGTGACTGATGAGCTGCCAAGATCCTGCCTTTTTTATCTTGTTTATTTTATTTTTTGAGATAGAGTCTCACTCTGTTGCCCAGGCTGGAGTGTAATGGCGTGATCTCGGCTCAGTGCAACCTCTGTCTCCCAGGTTCAAGCGATTCTCCTGCCTCAGCCTCCCACGTAGCTGGGATTACAGGCACACACCACCGCCCAGCTAATTTTTGTTTTTTTAAATAGAGATTGGGTTTTACCACGTTGGCCAGGCTGGTCTCGAACCCCTGACCTCAGGTGATCTGCCTGCCTCGGCCTCCCAAAGTGCTGGGATTACAGGAGATCCTTCCTTTTTTAAAACAGAGATAGGAAAAACTGGTTAGGATGCTCACTCTAAGCCAGAGGCTACAGAGCAAGTAACCCAACATCTCCTGCGGAGTGAAGCCAATTTACAAAAATTACAAGGTACAATTACCCACGCAATTTGGAAATGATCACATGGGTCGTCTTATGTGAATTTGCAGAGACAGTTTCTTTTACCATCATTCTTCTTCTTTTTTTTTAATCCATTAAGATCTTTGTTTAAATAATGCAGTTGAAGTGTTTTGCCAACAAAAACTTAACTTTGGAGTCTTGTGTGATGGGCACATACATTTTTATTATTTATTCTTTTTTTAGATGGAGTCTTGCTTGTCGCCCAGGTTGGAGTGCAGTGGTGTGATCTCAGCTCACTGTAACCTCCATTTCCCAGATTCAAGTGATTCTCCTGCTTCAGCCTCCCGAGTAGCTGGGATTATAGGTGTGCACCACCATGCCCAGCTAATTAAAATTTTTTTATTTTTATTTTTAGTAGAGACAGGGTTTCACCATGTTGGCCAGGCTGGTCTTGAACTCCTGGCCTCGAGTGATCCACCCAGCAAGGATATTTTTAATATGGGATCATGAGAAACATCCAGGTTGAACTATTTTGCTTCCCTTCACCCAGAAGCAAAATCAGAAGCAGATTTAGTTCAATTCTCAACCCACAATCTGTCAGGGATAACCAGGTCTGAAGGAAATATCTGGTTTATTGCCACAAATCTGCTCAACCTGGATCCACCTGTTTGCTGGGGTTGCAGGAGCAGTGCAGCATGCTGGTTAAGGATGTGGCTGTGGATTGGGAGGAACTGGGTTCAAGTCCTGGCTTTGCTGGTTATAAACTATGCAACTCTGGACACTTCACCTGTCTCAGACTCAGTTTACTCATATGTTAAATAGCGTCAGTAATATCTGCAATGATTAAAGGAGGTCAAGCTTATAATACTTAGCAGTGTGGCACCTGCTATCACTCTTACTGCTTATGGAGGATCAGAAAGAAATAGAGAAAGAAACTTCTAGCTCTGTGTAGAACACTGGCTATTCCTCTGTGCCATCCCTGTCTAGTAGAACTTCCTGCGATGATGGAAATGTCTCATATCTGCACTATCGCATATTATAGCCGCTAGACACATGTGGCAATTGAGCATTTAAAATGAGGTTATTGTCATGGAAGAACTAAATTTTAAGTTTTATTTAACTTGGATTGATTTAAATTTAAAGAGCCAAATGTGGCTTAAGGCTATATTGTCAGACAGTGCAACCGCCGGAAACCTGAAGGCTCCAAAGACTGGGAATTGAAGGCATACATGGCTCCAATCAGGGGGCATCTTTGCTGGGGGCTGGGGCCCATATTGGGGGGTCTACACTCAGACACTTTCTAAGCTGCCATGTCTTGTTCACGGAACCCAGGAATTCTATAATTCTCTACTTCCCTTCCAGACTCCTACCTCCTATCATTCTTGGCCCTGGTCTCTTGACTCCTCCCTCTTCCCAAGGAGTACACCATGTCCGCCCTTACCTTTATACTTAAGCTCCCCAGGTTGCTCTTTCATATTCCCTCTGCTGAGAGCCAACTCCTGCTCAGCCTTGATGGCCCACTTCATGTCCCACCTGTCCTGGGAATTTAATGAGATCATGCATGTAAAATGCCTAGCACATAATCAGCACTAACTAAACATGAGTGATGTATATTTCC